CCCTCCGATGGTCAGAACCCTCCGTGGGTAGCCCTTCTCGATTTGGCTGGCTCTCAACGAGAGCACCATTGTAACGAGCATAAGGCTAAGGAGGGGAACCATCCCTCAAAAGCCGGCCCAAGAGGTTGGAGAACCTCCCGCCTTATAAGGCCTCCCTGGTAAGGAGACCTCCCCGATGTGGGACTTGTTACATAATGTTTGGCGGTCAAACGTCAAAACCATAGACACGGAGAATATAATAGAGAGTTATTAGAAACTAAAAGACGCAAACACTTGGTTCGATAATCTTCACCCTCATCTATTTCTTTTGTGCTGATCTCTCTCTAAATAGCAGCTTGTTCATTATCTATGAACAAAATCTTCAGATTTTGTTACGGTCAGGATAATTCCGTAGAAAGCAAAGAAGAAAAGGTAGAAAGTGGTGAATATTGTTCAATTGAAGAGAAGAATATTGGTATGATGAATACGGGGTTGAAGTTGAAAGAGACATTCTACTTGTCACATGGATCACCAACTCTTGTGATAGATGATAGCATCCCTGCATGGAACTTCTTCAGTTCGTGGAAGGAGCTGTTTCCGCCGCGACCCTCTTCCATTCTTGTCATCTCCGGCCACTGGGACACCCATGTCCCCACCGTCAACGTCGTTGATCGGAATGACACCATCTATGATTTCTACGGTTTCGAGATCTGAATGAGGCTGCATATTGGTGGTTATATAACCTTGACAGAAAAGCATGGTGTAAGCATAAATTCTCCTCTCATACAAAGTGTGATTTATTGATGAATAATTTGAGTGAGGCCTTTAATAGTACCATACTTGTTGCTAGGGATAAGCCAATCATAACCATGTTTGAGTGGATTAGGATGTACCTCATGAATAGGTTTTCAAACCTTAGAGATAAGTGTAAAAATTACACAGGTCAAATTATGCCTAAACTTTTGAAGAGGCTAGATTGGGAGGTTGAAAAATCTGGGAATTGGGTTTAGGAGAGAGAAAAACGGCCCGATAAGGAAGAGATTCGGGACAAACGATGGCCGATCACAAAACAAATCATAGATCTGGGTAGAGGGGGTCTGGGCGAGTCCGGCACCGGTGATCGCCGCCGGAAAAGTTGCCGGACGCACCACCACGCGCGGCGACCGACGGAGAGGAGAGAGAAACTGCGCGAGCATGGAACCGGCGCGTGGGGGCGCGTGCGGCCTCCGTTTGCCACGCGACTGGCG